GCTCACATATTCTTGTAAGTGGAGGAGCTGGATTTTGAAACCAAGCAGTCTGTTTCTAGGACCTGAGATCTTGTCCATTGTACTGACTTGTCACCTCAAATCCATCCTGCCTCTATTTACAGGCTTTCTAGGGGAGCAGAATGGTATTGTGAAGGAGAAATGCAGATGAAAAGGGTGTGTTCCTGTCACTACTTACTCTTCTCTCCTCTTCCCTCTGTCCTAATACTCTTTGTCTAGGTGCACACAACCTTCCAAATCCTCAAAGATGCTAGATGGCATTATATTATAAATATCATAGTGAACATGTAACAGATATCTATAGAATTAGTGAAACAATATCTGGACAGGCATTTTATTTACATTTCATAGAGACAAACCAAGATCAGAGAAATTTAATAACTGTTTATGGTTACAAGTCCATATGGTTACAAGTCTCTCTCTTTACTTCAATCCCCAAGTGTTCCTATCTCATTATATAGCTTTCCACATATAGTCATCCCTTAGTATCTGTGAAGACTTGGTTCCAGGACTACCACAGATACCAAAAAATCTATGGATACTCAAATCTCTTATATAACACTGTAGTATTTGCAAATAACCTATTTGTATCCTCCCATATGACTTCAATCACCTCTAGATTACTTACACAATTGGATACATTATTGCACTATGTAAATTGTTGTTATAATGTAAAAGTGGTTTGGGAATAATTAGAAGAAAAAGTTTAGTGAAGATGAATTAAAAAATGTTTTGGTCTGCAGTTGATTAAATCTGTTGATACCTGTGGATATGGAGGGCTGACTGGAATTCCTTTTCAAGATCTTCCTCTCACCAAAGCTTTTTCTTTCCTCTCTTAATTTTTTCTTTCCTTTCCTTTCCTTTCCTTTTTTTTTTTTTTTGATTCCTGCATGATAAAACTTTGACCGTCAGTTTGCCGTATTATCTTTGCTTGGAATCAGGAAGAAAGTCACCTGAATGAACAAAATCATATTGACAGAGGAATGCCCAACAGCAACAATAACACTAGTAGCTACAGCTTAGTGCTTATTATATGCCATTAATTCTCACAGTGTTCCCATGGGGAAGCTATTTTTAGTCCCTATTTTATAGCTGAAGAAACAAAGTTGATCTTAGAATTAACACACGTTCTACCAGACTGTGCTCCTCTTAATTCATATCATCCCAGGGTATTTATAGTTTAAAAGATCATCCTGTTTACCCCAAACCCCTTGAATAGAACTGACTGTTAAAATAGGCAAGAGAACAAATATCCCAACCACATGGGAAGCTTTTCCAATTAGATTAGATCAGAGGTTCTTTTTTTGAGGGGGGTGTACCAGTGATTAAACCCAACAGCACTTAACCAGTGAAGTGAGCCACATCCCTGACATCTCCAGCCACTACCCCCCCCCTTTTTTGAAGCAGGGTCTTTCTAAGTTGTCGCGACCCCTTGCCCGCAAGGAAGACGCAACTCGGGAATCTTCTCTCAGCAGTTTATTCAGGTCCTTGATACTTTTTCTTCTTCTTCCCGGATGCCCCTCCCAGCCTTAATAAAGCACCTCAAGCCCCAATGCGAAGCTGCCACGTGGACTTTTCTCATAGGGTGCCAAGTCACAGCATGCCAACTCATTCTGATAAGGAGTTGTTTGTCACAGACTACAGGGGAAACCAGCGCCATCTTGTAATGGCGGCCACAGTTCACAGAAACGGCTCACCACACTAAGTAACTGAGGCTGGTCTCAAAATTGAGATCCTCCTGCCTCAGCCTTCCAAGTTGCTGGGATTACAGGCATGCGGCACCACACTAGCAGATCAGAGGTTCTTAATTCTTGCTATACATTAGAATATTCTGAGGACCCTTACCTCCCCATCTCTCACCTCCCCTCCCCTGCATCTCAGCAGAGAAATTTGAGAGATACAAAGCTGAAAGTTTCATGAATGAAAAACCAGGCATTGTGTGGTTGCCCTCCCTCTCTCACTCCCCGGCAACTCCCTCCTTCTCCAGTGGATTATAGAGTTTGGTTCTCTAATTCTCAACTTAAAAACATTTTATTTGTTTAAATTCTACCTGTTTACAAAAAGCATTTGATACTGCATAGAGCAATAATATACAGAAAATTAATTAATTATTAAAAGAAAAGTTCTTGGAAAAAAAAGCTGAAGCAATTTGATAACTATTAGAACTTAGAATTTTGTGAATAAGAAACTCACTGTGGGCTTTCCTGTAGTCAGGGCAAGAGAAACATTTACATAGTTGTAAATAGCAGAAAGGAGGAAGTGTGCAGCAATTACAGAGGGGTGACAAAGAAGCTTCTGCTGTGAGTCCTCATAGGGGACAGTTGCACATCATGATAGCAGCATCCTTGACAACAGTTTCACAACAAATACTGAAGTAGTTTCAATATTGCTATCCCTGGAGGGTGAAGACCTAACTTTAAAGCCAAACTTAGTGAAGCAGATCTTCTAAGATGATGCTGAACTTGATCTTATCTTTGTAACATAACCACTTCTTCCTTTCCCCTCCTCCTCCCCCTTCCTTCCTTTCCCCTCCTCCTCCCCCTTCCTTCCTTTCCCCATTCTCCCTCCTCCCTCCTCCTCCTCCTTCATTTTTTCTTTGCTCTTCTTTGGAGTCTTCTTTAACATTATAATGTGGATGGATGAGTTTTGTTTTAAACTATTACATCAATTTGCTTTTCTCTAGTTAACTAGATTAAGAGTCCTAGACCACTGCAGTGTAGTCCACCTTTCCAAAAGTCTCTGAAGACCATATTCAGCAAGTTCTACCCTCTCAAGAGTCTTATGCTGGTCCTTACAATCTTGAGCTGATCTGAACTGAATGGAGAAGGCTATTTTCACCACGTACATTCTGTTTGTGTAAACTTGTATTTCATTTGTCTTTTTCATTTCCCTTTTGGCAGCAAACATCAATGCTTGAGGACACACTGCCACTTATTTCTGGGAAGCACCAAATATTTGGTATTTATCTGCATTTAGACAAAATCAGTTTCGAGTTGTTTCCATATATACCAAACATAAATATTTAGATAAAACAAGCTTATCCATTATGCAGTTTACTCTATTATCTGTGGAATCACTAATTTTTTTCAGTGGTTGATTGAAAAATTTATTGAGCATGGACTTTACAAAAAAACATTATAATAAGTAATGTGTGGAGAGCAGAAAAATACATCATAAATAAAAGACATGGGGATGGAACATTGTAAACTTTTTTTCTAGCTGAGAAGTGAAAACATTAAATTATTTTTAATTAATGCAATTAGTTAAATTATTTTAAAGTACAATGTTTTGAAGAGACCATTTGTGTGTCTGACTCCAGTCATTCTTTTTTCCCATATTTTTTATTGGTGCGCTATAATTGTACATAATGGTGGGATTTATTGTTACATACTCATACATGCATGCAATATAGCAATATAATTTGGCCAGTATCATTCCCCAGTGTTTCCCGTATCCCTTCGCTTCTCTCTCCCCCTGGTTCCTTTATTCAAAGGATCTCCCTTTGATTTTTACCCTGCCTCTCTAACTTCCACATATGAGAGAAAACACATGACCCTGACCTCTAAGTTTGGCTTATTTTACTCAACATAATGGTCTCAAGTTCCATTCATTTTCCTACAAATGACATAATTTCATTTTTCTTTATGACTGAATAGAACTCTATTGTGTATAAATACCACATTTTCTTCATACATTCATCTGTTGATGGATACCGTGGCTAGTTCTATAATTTTGCTATTGTGGATTGTGTTGCTGTAAACATGGGTTTGCATGTATTGCTATAGTGTGGTGACTTTAATTCTTTAGGATAAATACTGAGGAGTGATAAAGCTGGGTTATATAGTAGTTCCATTCCTTGACTCCAGTCATTCTTTGATGATAAAATAATTTTGTTTTATATTAATCTCCCTCTGTATCATCCTCAGTAAAGTGAAAACTATTCATATTATATTTAATGAGATGAAATTGGGTTTACCAATTCAAGAATTTAAAAGGAATTCTTTTTTTCTTGCTTCTATTGGAAAACTAAAATTCTTAGAATGGTATCGTAAGTGCTCTTCTGATCTTTTGAATTTAAACTTGAAAAAGAAGTTTTAAATTTATTTTGGATAGTTTTTACATCATCATTTATTTATCTCTTCTTGTGGTTTTATCTGTTTTTAAAGGAGTTTAAAATTTATATTTGAAAAACCCCCAAATTGGGTTTTCTTTTACTCATGTTTATGAGATAGTTCTTGATAATATTGTAGTCATACTTGTTTCGACATACTCCATTGAGACAGTGAATTAGTCATGATAAAAAGGTTATTCTTTGTTTTTTCATCTTTTTCATTCATATTGCCTCTCCCAAGAATCCATTACCTTCCCATTCATTCATTCATTCAACAAGTATATATTATGTACTTATTGTATCCAAGAGAATGTGTTGGTATCTGAATGTGCAAAAAGATGCCAGAAAAGCTAATAAATTATGAGACTTAAGACTGGGACATTGAAGTAGAAAAATGTTAATTTCCATATGTAAGGGCTAAGTAATGTGCTTTAGGAATTTTCAGATAATAAAGAGGTTTCCCCACTTTCAGGGAAGTGGGGTGAGTGTTTCAGAAATATTTTTTTCCACTGAAGTTAAACTATTTAATTCTTGTATTTTTGTGGGTAATAGAAAGCATGTTTTACTCCTTAGCATTTAATAAAACAAACATGATTGAAGATATCTGTTCTTAGCTCAAAATGCCCAAGATATTCTTAGATATTTTCAGGATATTTTTAGTACTTTAACTTTTCATGGTTAAAAAATGAAAATTATTAAGTACTTACTGAAATGACAGCATGAAGTTCTCTCTGTTTGCAAAGCCCATGTCCATTCCTCTACTTCTTACTGTAGAAGCCTAGTTGCAATACTTTCATCTTATTCAAGAGGTATTTATTGTGGCGTTTGCTCATTTTTGCATTGTTTAATATTATAATACATTTTTTTCCAGAAACAAAATCAATAAAGGTTTGGAAGATTTAAAAAGTGTTAGTCCAGTGGGAGAGACATACATCCATGAAGGACTAAAGCTAGTAAGTCACTTCACACTTGAAAGTATGGAAGAGAATGCTTTTTTATTCTGTAATGAAATACAATTATCTAGCAAGGCTCAAAAAACTGTTACATACTTATCTTTAAAATGCTTTTAGTTATTCTAGAGATTAGTCTGGTAGAAAGCATTATTTACTGTAGTGATAAGAAAAGTTTGTATGCATTTTGTCTATTAAGGAATTTTCCATTTTCTTTTGTGGTCATAATTCAGATTATTCACCTATAACTAAAAACCTTTGTCATTTAAACCCAATACTAACTACTCTTTAATGTGAATATGTATATATTTCAAATAAAATAGTTACACTATCCTCCTTTATGCGCTAGTCAGTAATATTTTTACTTTGTCAGACTTACAAATTTAGCTTGATGGAACATGCTGGTTAAAAGTTAAAATTAAAATGTGAGTTGGATAATTATTCTTCATTTTCAGGCGAATGAACAAATTCAGAAAGCAGGAGGCTCAAAAACCTCCAGTATCATAATTGCTCTGACAGATGGTAAGTTGGACGGTCTGGTGCCATCATATGCAGAGAAAGAGGTGAGTATTGAACTGAAACTGTTCTTTACACCCCACTGCTGTGCCTGGCTGTGTGTTTCTGCATGTTTAGATGGATATTGAGTAACTCTGTATCTCTCTGTCTCTGTCTCTCCCCCTCTCTCTTTCCCCTCCTCTCTACTCCTCTTTTTTTTTCCTCCTTAGGCAAAGATATCCAGGTCACTTGGTGCTAATGTTTATTGCGTTGGTGTCCTTGATTTTGAACAAGCTCAGGTGAGTTAAGACAGTTCTGCAAAATTTAAATCCCATAATGTCTTAAGGATAGGGGAACAAATTCTTTTCACTAATGACTTCTTACAAAGGTTTTTTATAAAATGGTTTATGTCTTGAGTGCTGCCTTCATAATGTCAGAATTTTGATAGGTTTTGTTACTTAAAACAAAACTCTAAATAAATAAGTATTTGAACATTTATTTGGTTGGAGGAAATAATACAAGACAAACATTTGTACTAAAATTATGTGAATATCCCTTCAATTAAAATGACAAGATTATTAGTCTTATTTATAATTATTATTTTGATTTAAATTTTGACTCTTAGGGGTGCAGGAATTTGGAAAGTCCATTTGAAAATCTTTAATAATTTTTATTAAAAAATAATCTTTTCCCATGGAGTTTTTTTTTTGAGGGTTTAGGTACCACATTTTTTTTTCCTCACAAAATCATTTTACATTCAAATTCTTGCTTGAGTATAGCTTAGATTCCTGAGTCTTCTGCCATTAACAGCTGTTAGAACTCTGTTGTTGTAAAATTGCAACTTGAGGCTGTGTCACGGGGCTAAGACTGACCTCAGTTATTCCATGGTGATACATTTGGAGGAACACAAATCTTATCACCTTCAGTTTACAGGCCACACTGGTGAATGAATCCTGCAGAGTAACTTTTCAGACATACATAACTAAAACTTAAATTTACATGTAAGTTTAACATAAGTTTATAAAGAATTGTCTGTCTCAACTATCTCTTAAGTAAGCTTTTCTCTTTTTTTTCTAAAGCTCGAAAGAATTGCCGATTCCAAGGAACAAGTTTTCCCTGTCAAAGGTGGATTTCAGGCTCTTAAAGGAATCATCAATTCTGTGAGTCTATCTCTGGAGGGAGATGGGCAGGAAGGGACTGATCATTGTACATACATTTTAAACTAATAGAAATAATCTTAGTGTCTAGTGCTTCTTCTTATGGAGAAGAAAGAGCATAAGAAAGAGATTTGCTTGCTCTTCCACAGTGTAATTCTAAAAATCTGGATTTGTTTGCAAGTGAGATTTGACACTAATTCTTGCATGGTTGGGCTCTGAGAACCCCAGCCTGTGATCTCTGTTTTAGATACTTCTACCATTTTTAAGCATGGAGTTGCTATCTCGAGGTTTCTTTCTTTCTCTCTTTTACATAGACTTTATAGGACAAATGTAAAATGAAAAATTTGGATTGGAATGTGTGATTACTTTGCCTTCCAACTATGGCATTTCTTAGCTGTATGTCAGGCATCTTGAACCAGCGGCTGAGTATTTGACTGCAGTTGTTGTTTTTTCCATTTAAATGATGAATTGTCTCCCTAGAGCACATAATATTTCTGTTTGGGATTCAGTTGAGCTGCTCTGGTGGTGTTTAGGATCCGGGCTCTCCTCGACAGCGTATGGGAAGGGAGTGATGAAATGCACCACGAAGCTCCTGGGTTTTCACAGCTGAGGTTTATGTTTCGTTTTACTGCCTTTTGCTAGAAGCACTAGGGATAGTTGCTATTAAGTATTTATGATATTTTGGTAAACACCATCCTAAAATGGAAGTGAATAATATATATTCTCTAAGCAAAAGCTTTTCCTTTAATCTTTAGGCATTTGTAAAAGGAAAAGAAAGTGTCTAACATTTAGTTCTGGCATTTAAAATTTCTCTTCAAAGATTATGTTTTTTAGAAACACAGAGATTTATTGGTTTTTGTTTTAGTAGCATGTATTTTTTTTTTAAATAAATGGACCTTTTTAGAGGAAACAGAATTTGGTTCAATCTCATGTCAGTGGACAAACCAAATGTAAATGCAGAATGAAACAGAGATATAATTAGTTTAGGAGTTTATTTATATAATATTATGTTTGGTTTGTAGAAAAAATTAGTAAATAATTTCATAGTTGGATTCAGGGTAAATATCAACAGAAGCAATATAAATGCAGGAAAAGAGATAATGCAAAAAGGGAGGATAATTTGACCCCCTCAACAAAAAGGTCAGTGGGTTGTATGTTTAATAGAATTTTATTGTACTTGAGGATTTGCAGTTATTTTTATAATTATACTGGGAAAGAAAAAAGATTTCTCTGGGTTATTCCCTTTGAAATCTTTTTTTCTCTACATAAAAGGTTTAATTTAGAATTCTCCAGATGACTGACTAGCTTTTCCAAACCCTACTTTTATGGGTTATAACTATAGATTTTTCCCTTTAAGAAATTAATAGTTGACTACCAGAGGAAATAATTTTCTTTTTTTGTCTATTTGTGCTGGGCAAGGAGGTGCAAGCCTGTAATCCCAGCAGCTCTGGAGGCCAAGGCAGGAGGATTGTGAGTTCAAAGGCATCCTCAACAATTTAGGGAGGCCCTAAGCAATTTAGCTAGATCCTATCCCAAAATAAAAATAACAAAGGCTGGGGATGTGGCTCAGTGACTGATTAAGCACTCCTGTTTTCAATCCCCAGTACAAAAAAACAAAGAAATAAATAATAAAAAATAAAAATAAACAAAATGTTTATTTGTTAAATTGTGTTTTTCTGTTTGTATTGAGGAAACTTCAGAAGGTAATTTCTAAGTATAATACAGTCCTGCTGGATTGAAGTTCTTGATAGACATTAGCTTGAATAAGTTGTGTTAAAATAATTAGCAGGAAACTAGAAAGATTTGCATTATTCTAGGTACACTGCCAACAAAGTTTCATGTTAACATAGTTAAACACTAGCTATTTTGTCCCCCAAAGAGGAATACCTTGTCCATAGGACAGCCTGCCTCTGGGGAAATCGCTGGCAATACCTGGCAAAGGTGGCAGGTGGAAAAAGGAGTCATTATAACTTTTATAACCAACCTAGATCTCAGCAATGGTTGATATATTTTTTTTTTTAATTAGTGTTGTGAAACCTTGGGATTTTCATCCACTATATAGAAATTTGAAGCAATTCAAATACTTCATTTCTTTTCAAGGGAAGAGATTGGTTCACCTTTAATAATATAAAAAATTGGAATTCTGCCTAAATTTGAATTATATTTTATACTCACATATTATTTAAAAATATTTATTTGATATTTAGAGTGATATAGCACATTTATCACAGGATAAGGACAAAGAAAAGAAGATATCCCTTTATTCTTTATGACTTACCAAGATAATAGATGAAATTGTACTATGAAATATATTTACATAAAGCTAAACAAATGGAAAAAAATCATAAAACTTAGGTTTTTCAGATGTCACTATGAAGGCAGAATATTAGCTAAATTCATGGATAAAATCTCTTTCTTGCTGGATATTATTTAAATACATCTGATCTCCTTTACTGTCAGAATGTTAACTTACTTGAAGTTGATCTTTGAAAAAATTCATACAAGTTTTTTTTGTTTTTTGTTCTGATCCCCCAAAATCCAGTGACTTGAATGGACTTGTGCCCTTAAAGACCAAGACGTCATATATTGTTAAGATATTGTGTGTCAAGAATTAATTTTTAATCAGCAAAGACAGTAGTTTCAGTTTTGAAGACTTTCTTCAATGCAGTTAAAAGGAACAAACACTGTAGTAGTTCTTTCACAACTTAAAAATCAAGAGACTGAAAAAGACCTTTGTTATGAATATGCTGCATATTAACAATTTAATATCTTTTTTAAAATTTATTTGATTCAAAAAATCATTTAAGCATTCTATTTTAATTTTTTAGAAAGTGTACTGTTTCAACATTTTTAGATTGTTCTTCAGGCAGACATGATATGTAACATTCTTTGGAATATTGGTATAATTTTTTATTATAACTAGCTCTATGAAGGTTTATAATTCATTACCATCTCAAGTAGATACTATTCAGAATATATCTTTTATTTCTCTCTTCTTTGCTCAACTTAGTTTTTCATTGAACTCATTTAATAAATTAATAAATTAATAAACCCTCCTTTTTCTTAAGGCACTGTGTTAGGCATGGAAGAAGGAACACATACTTAAATAAGTCAAACTCTATACTGCACCAGGGTTTAAAATAGTGATGATGAGATGTTTGGAATATCCCCTGTAAAATTTATTAGGTAATATGGGGATTTAGAGGAGGGAAATTTTAGTGAGTCACCCCATGGGATAAAAAACCATCTTAGAATGGAATTGTGTTAAATGTCAATGTGGCATGTAAATTGACGTAAAGAGGATTGGTTTGGTTATATAAAGTTATAGAAACCTTTTCATGGGATTTGAACTGGACTCTACTAATTGGAGTAGATATAATTTAAAAAAAGGAACTTCAAGAACAACCTGTGCTGAGGGGTTTGAAGGATACATGTTGACAGACAGTCTGGACTCAGATTACAGAGACCTTCACATCCTTGAATGGGGAATTAACACTCATTTTAAAAATAATCAGGAAAACATGGAAGACAAGAGCCTGGGATTTATATGATGTCCATGAGGATTTAGGAAGAATATTCTTATAATAATGTATGGGATGGTTTGCATCCTATAGTTATAAATCTCTTGCATTTGTCTGTATAAAACACAGAAAAAGATAATAACCTCATGTGCAGATAATATGAGGTTGGAACTAGGAAGCTCTGGGTATGAATCCCTGTCACTGCACAGCCCTGTGACATGGAATAGGTCCTACAATGTACTTCCTGAGTTCTAAAATTCTCAGCAAATGGGAATAATGAGTTCTATTTCACTGATTATTTTAATTAAATGAAATAATGATTAAGAATGACCTAGATCAGAAGAGCTGGACTTTAAAATATTTGGTAGGAAGCTAAGAATGGCAGGAAGCCAGGATCATGTAACCTGGGGCTATTGGTCCTTCTGTAGGACAATCCACTGGGAGAGATGGCCAGCAATCTATATGATCAATGTCATGGGTATAAAAGGATATGATGGTAGAATGTAAGAGGTTCAGTTTCAGAGGGTGGGTCATAACAAGGTTTTCTAGATGGTGTAGGTACCCAGTGTCCTTAGGCTATGGGATCAGGACCCCATCAATCAGGGGAACATGATTCAGTATTCCTATAACAAAGTTATGTATAATTGTAGGACCCCATATTCAAAAAAGAGCCACAGTTCATGGGGGAGGCAGTGTGTGCTAGTTAGAATTCAGTGTAGAAACCCTGTTGTTAAAGGGGAAACAGTATTCCCAGTAAATTATAGTTCCTGAGAGCTTATCCTAGGCACTGGGATTCCAGGTCTTTCAAAAAGGAATCTAGGTCAAAGAGCTAATTATGGAAATACTTAATAAACTCTCTGCCCATATCAAAAATATGTCAGGAACAGGGTGGGGCTGAACCTGCATGTATAAAAAATCTCTGTCTCATGCTGAACCATACTCAGGCATATGGCAAATATTAGCTGACACTTATTAGTTTTTGTTAATGATTATTATGATGGCAGTGACACTGAAAATAAAACAATAAATTTGGGTAAGCATTAAAAATTAAAACCTGAGAGTGCACTGGATTATAGGATTAAAGAGACAGAGCAGGGAGTCAAATGTAAGAGGCATTGTGTGCCTGTGAATGACTAGAGTGAAAGCTATTTTTACAGAGGGGGCAGGGATGTCACTGGCAAAATGGAAGAGGTCAGTGGGCAGAGAGAGAAGTCAAATTGAGCTTGAGAAAAAAGTCCCAGTGGGGGATGTAGGTAATTGGAGAACCAGTGAACTATCAAGGTTAGAAGTCATTGCGCCATCTCTTGTCCTTTCTCCCCTCCCTTTGCCCACAAACACAAACACAGAATTTTCTGTTTTTCTCTTCAGAATTATCTTTAAAATCTTAGAATGTTTTTTTAAAGTCCTTTTGATTTCTTGGGAAGATGATTGCAGGACTTACATTTTAAATATATAATATATAAATATAGAATAAAATTTTATTTGCACTAGTAAAGGTCAGACTAACATGTGGATACCCCATGGGTTCTAGTTCAGTGTTTTATACTGTAGTGCTATGAAAGAAAATGTTAAAAAAAAATCCACAGATGGGTGAATAATATGGAAAGAGTAAAAATCAAAATGCTCTGAGGAAACTCCTTCTCTTTTATTTTCTAAAAGCAGGACCATGGGATGTTTCACTACTTGGAATTACCTTCACAATTTTTGTTTTTAATAAGAGTCCCTCAGAAAATATTAAAAAGAAAGAGATGAATCTGTTGTGAAGCTGGCTTTATAAACAACCCTGGTCCAAGAGAATTAAGTACACTAGATTCTAAGGGAAGGCAGTTAATGCCAGAGTTTCTAAGTTCATAATGGGAAAGTATACAAGCATGAACAGGAAGAGAATGATCACGTGTAGGACATTTAAATAGCAATGTATTGGATTTTTTTTTTAAGGGAAAATGTGCAATGTATATTTCAAAAAATAACTTCATTCACAGTGTTAGAAATATAAGCTCCCTTTAACATTTGGATATAATTGTTTTTCTCAGTGAAGTCCACTGTTATTGTTGTGGTTTTGTTTGAAAAGCACTAAGAAAGGTGTCTAAAACTATGTTATATGGAATGAGAATTACTCCAACCTCCTTTTCTCTACTGGCAAATCATTTTCATAGAAGAGGGTACCTAATAAATACTTAGCTTAAGTGATTTTAGCAGGCTCTGCTAAGAACGTTGTTGACTGCTTAGTTATGGAAACCTCTCTTGATAAAAATCATAGTTTCATGAAAAACCTAAAGCCTGAGCAACTGTAAAGATACAGTCACAGCAGCATGCTTGGAGGTTGGGAGATCCGTCTCTTGCTACAGCGGTGTGTGGCAGGAGCCATCCTAGAAGGAACCTGGGACTTCTTCTCTCCCAGCTTCCAATCGCCTTCCCATCTCCTCCCCATTCACAACCTCTGGGACCATCTTCTTGCCCACATTCTGCTTCCAGGACCAGCTAATTTCCTGTTTGTTTTTTAAAGTGGTTAGCACCTGATTTTGGGCCAACCACCACTTCGCAGATTTGTCAGAATTATTACACTTATTTCAGCGAGGTGGAGGCTGTGGTCACCCGCATGGTCAGTTTGCACCTGCGGTCCTCCCCACCTACATCTCTGACAGCTATCTCACAGAACTTGTGGCTCTGGAGGGTATGGGCCTCTGCTTCTGCGAGTTAGCCCAGGACAAGCACCTGGGTGCAAGGGTATCTGAAGATTCTCCACCTTCCAGGAGGTGCAGAAGCCTTCTCAGGATGACTGGGTAAAACCTAGACACCTTGGAAGCCATGGTGCAGCTGGGGAAGAACCTGAACCGTGCCTGTTTGGGTGGATCTTTGTGCTTTCATTCCTGCTGGCACAGACTCCCATCGCTGTGACATCCTGGAGAACCACTTCCTGGACGAGGAGGTGAAGCTCCTCCAGAAAATGGGCGACCATCTGAGTAACTTCCACTGCGTGATGGACCAGGCAGAGAATGTGTCTTTGAAAGCTTCATCCTCAATAGGATTAGGAAGCTGGGGCCCAGTGTCCCTTGAGGTGTCCTCTGCATCTCCTGGCATGAGGGCTTTGGCCTGAGCCATTCATTCCAGTCCTGGGAAGCTTTTTAACTTCCTTGGAGCCCTTCCCAAGCATTGAACCAAATGAAAATAAAGCTTTTTCCAAGATAAAACAAAACAAAACAAAAACAAAGTAAAGGTGTATCACAGGAAGAAAAGAAACCAAAACTGATAATACTTAATCAAAATTGGAAATCAATTTCCAGAACTCTTGTTAAAAAAAAATCTAAAATATGAAGATCCTACTTCAAATTAGATTATTCTAACTTCTCTTTTCTAAGGATCTTTAGTACTAAATGTGGAAACATCATCATAACACCTTCCAGATTAATAAGATGAGGGTTGGAACTGTATTTACCCCATCCCTGATATTCTTACCCCTCTAATTCCTAATATTGGGTAAGTAGCCATTGCTTAATTCATATTTGTCAGTGAATGAATAAATAAAAACCAAGCACATTTTTGAAAATAATATTTTTATAATAAAATTATGGAATATTTGAGCATTACCACTATATTAGTGTTTTTTATTACAAGTCACAGAAGCACAGTTACTACTGGTTTAAGGAAAATAAAACTAAAGAAAGAAAGGGACTGACCTCTTCAACTGGGTAGTCCAGGGAGGGAAACTGCCTGAGGGATAGCTGGATCCAGGGAAGCAACCATGTTCATAGGATCTTTTCTCTTAGTAAATTTTGACTATGATTCTATTTGCTTGATTCTCTTCTATTTAGAGGTGTACTAGAGAATGAAAACTGCAAAAGGCTTCAGACTTATATGGTCCCCAGTCAGTAAGCCCTTTGAAAAGTGAGTGCTGTTGACTCATTGCATTAGTATCTAAGGTCCCAGATAAGCTTGAGTAACTCAGTTGTGCCACGTGCTCATTCTTCCACCAATCATGTCAACGTTATCTGGATTGGTTTGAGTAATATTCCCACCCAATGACAAAGGGGCAAAGATAGAAAAAGAGAGGAAAGCATCATGATTGATAGCCTCTCTTGGAGTGAGGAACAGCTTCTCCAATAGAGGAGGCAGTGTTCATGGAAGACCGAGGATAAAATTGTTCTGGGTAGAAAAAAAAATTAGTAGCTATTACAGTTCACCATAACATTCAAACACATTTCAAATATTTTCCACTATATTCTAGGACACCCCATTCCTTCTAGATTCCGTTTATCTAAAAAATAAAAATGATCAATTTTCTTTAAATCGTTCATTTTATTGACTGATCTTTTATAATTTTGTCTTGACATTCATTGTCCAATACTCTATTTGCATTTGCATGAAAGTATTATTTAATAACAGTATTCTTTTCTTTTTTTATTTGTTGGAATTATAGTTGAAGGAAATCAAATCCACTTTGAATAAATTGTTATAGTTTTGTGATATTTTGTGAGAAAACTAAACTGATGTTATGTAGACCTAATTAAATGCCAAATTTTAATTTGTGAACAATAAACTGTTGTGCTACAAGGCAACAACCTTATAGAAGCTCAGCAGATCTTGAAAGCAGAGTCAGTTGAATAGAAGGACAAGGAAAAAATGGAAAGGAGAGACAATGGTTAAAATTTATGACCAAATGTACCATAAAGCATAAATTATAATGAGAAAATGTATGATTTCTCACTTTTCCCCCAAAGATGATGATTTCTAATTTCTTGCAAAGGCATTTATTTATTTATTTATTTATTTTAGAGAGAGTGAAAGAGGAGAGAGAGAGAGAGAATTTTTAAAAAAATATTTATTATTTTTTAGTTCTCGGAGAACACAACATCTTTGTTGGTATGTGGTGCTGAGGATCGAACCCAGGCCGCACACATGCCAGGCGAGCGCGCTACCGCTTGAGCAACATCCCCAACCCCACAAAGGCACTTATTGAGCACTGACTAGGTTTAAGACACTTTGGCTGGGCTACAAAGATGGACATGGTCCCTAGAGTTTTCTGACTTTATAAATTTTAGGCATATATGCTTCTATAATTAGTAGAAGAACTGATTAAACTTTTATTTTTGTCAAAATATTTTATTTGCTATTTAATTTGGATTTCTGAAAAATTAAATGAAACAAATATAGACAGAATGCTTGCCAGAATGCTTGTGTTTTAGTTAATAAAACAAGAGAGTGGGCAATTATGAGTAATATGAAATAATATATACACTGCAGGAGAAAAATGTTATTAATTTCTTTAGGATCCGAAACAAACAGTGCATTTATTCTTACTTTATCTCATAATTTCAAAGCATTTTTTGTAGAAAGCCTATTGATTCATTAAGCTACCATTAAATGAGTATTTCAATGTATTAACCAAATGAAAAGAAAAAAATATCAACAGATAAACTTTTATTTTAGATCACAATCAATTTTTGGCATTGTCCATGTTGTAGTGAAAAAGGAAGACCTGCTAAAGTGATTTGTTATAAGAACTGCAGTTGTGAGATGCAGAGGAACTTAAATGTCATTTGGCTTTGTTTGTTTGTTTAATATGGGCATATATTCACCAACAGTATAATTAGAACTAAGCATGTGTTTTGTTTTGAGTTCAGAAGAGTAAAACAAAATTGCTTATGTCTTAGAGTTCTTCTCCAGACTTCCTGGAGCAAAGTTGGTTTAGAAGTTTGTCACTCGTGCTTTTATTACTTGCTTACTTGCAAAGGAAGAGAGAATCCTTATTTAGAAGTGGGTCTGAGTGTTGTATGCTGTGTTGAGCAACCATATTTTGAAGCTTCAGGCATTTTTAAAGGATGAACTCAACCAAAACACATGCTTGTAGCTAACAGTTGTTTTTAGTTGAAGTATTACCTCTTAGAGAAAAATATATTTGGATGGGAAGTTTGGCAGCCATAGAGAAAATATAAATCACATGTCTGAATATCAAGAGCTAAAAGAAAGATAAGAAAAAAATATGAGAAACATCTTTTCCAAATGTAATAGCTACTTATTTTATGCACATGGATGGCCAATTACTAAAGTTTAATTTTATTGGGACCTTTAAAACCAGTGCTGCTCAGTGATTTTTTCTTATGAGATAAACTTGGAATCTTTTAGACTTGGGATGCACTCTTATAGTGCTTATAGTTACTAAATGAGTCAGAAGAATGAAATGCTTGCTTTTTTAGACTTCATTATTATCCTTGCTGATATTTTCTGATACACTCTATGTCATAAAAATAAGCAGTTTCTATCTGTTAAGGACATACCTAGGATGTTGGTATATTTCTGTAATGATCCTTTGTTGATAGTGTTGTATACCAAAGTTAGTATTAGGTGACTATTTAGAATTTTCATAGAGTTGTAAAAATTTTGAAGAAGCTTGGGTAGTATATGTGTATTTATATGTAAGGAAATAATCTGTTTTGGGGAAAATCCTTATTATTTATAATTGATGTTAAAAAATAACAGAGGAAACCATTCAATGGAATATAATACCATTATCCCCCACCTTTTTAAAAAAGTTTTTATTTTTTGTCTGTGGTTCTGGGGATTGAATCAGGGCTTTGCATATGCTAGGCAAGTGCTCTACCTCTGAGCTAAAGCACAGTTCTACCCCTACCTTCCATAGCATCAAGCAGTCAAGCAGTCAAGCAGTAGTGCTCCTAGACACTGAAAGGTTTGCCTGGTTTACAAGGCATGGCTTGGCTCCTGGGCATCTCTCTAGCTTCATCTCTTAGCAAGCCCTGTGCTCCTCAACTTCCACTTTCTTCCCTTGGTACTTCAGCTTGTTTGCACCTTTTGCTGTCTCCAGAATGCTCCTCTCATATCCTCCCAGTTCACTCTACTTAGGCTTTAGAGTCCAGCGAATTCAGTCAGGTTTGTTTGTTTGCAGAGCTGGGGACTAAACCCAGGGCCTTGCAGATGCTTGGCATGTACTCTAGCTCCGAGCTACATTCCTGGCTCCCTCTTTTCTTATTGAAGTATATTATCACTTCAAAGTCTTTCTTTTGGTTTGAGATTTCACCTTATGAGTATGATGAAGGTGTTTATTTGATTACAGTTTTTCTTCCCGATAAACTGTGAGTACCCTAAAGACACTGTGAATGCTAGAGATGTAATTCAGTGTAAAGTGCTTGCCTAGAATGTACAAAGCTCTGGGTTTGATTCTCAAGATGGAAAGCAGGGATGGAAAACACAGTACCTATGCCCTTTGCTACTGCAGCCATAGCACCAAACCGGATGCTGGACACATAAACATGCAATAAATAATTCTGAGTGAGTGACATCCAGCTCACTATTGAAAGGAGTTGTTGGATAGAGAATGAACAGCTCAGAAGAGAGATTTCTGTGTCAGAAATAAAGATTTTTGGGGTCACTATGAAGTCAGATGAGTGAATGTGCTCTCCCAAGCAGTGTGTTGGTTAAAGACAGATTTGTTTTTAACACAAGATAAACAGTAATGTGGTTCATGGTCATGAAAAAAGATGCTGGGGGCTGTCTCTGTTCAGCTGTGCTCTCAGGTTGATTCTCACTCTGGGTCCTGGAGCCCATTCACCCAAAGGTGGAGGTAGATCCACCTTTCTCTCTTCTTATTTATCCTATCTAAGACAAGCCCCCCTTTTTCTTTTTTTACACAATAAAGAACTTTAATTTATGCTTTTTTCATGTTGTTTATATTATTTCTTTTTCTGTTTTGTTTACTGCTTTTGCAGCTGGTTCAATGCCTTATGGGTACCATGGATTAACAAAATTTGAAATCATTAGAATCAGTTTTCTTT